AAAGTATCGATATGGTATCGTATCGTATCGAAATTCGTGTCCCTACTTGCAGCTTTAGCAGCAACGGTCTCCGCAAATAGGTCGTTGGGCGGCAGACTGAGCGTTTCCACGATGCACAGTGCCGGGCGGGGTATGAAGACCATTATTGGGCCCAACAGCCGACGCCAGTGTGTCTCTGGTGTGAATGTCGAAATTTTTTTTTCAAGAGGAATGAGGTCAAACTGACAAGTTTGCAGACTGCCGGGTAAATAGGTCTCTCCTGGGCCGTTTCTTAGCTTTTCGCATATTTCTTTTGTAAGCTTTTAGTAAAACTTTGTGCTTCCTCCAATAGAATTCATTGTCGGTTACATTGGCCAATTGGAAATATTTGGGCACTCTGCGTTTTTGTGACCATCCATCAGGAAGAACTTAATCTGCGTTTGGTTAGCGAAAATGGTTAGGTTGAAATTGCAGACAGCTTTAAATAAAAAAATATTAAAAAGAATCTGAGAAACTTACTTCCAATGAATTTTTTGAAAAGAAACACTCGATTGATGGGAATCCAGTTTAGCACGCGATACTCAATAGCACCTTGTGAATACACTCATATGGAAAAAACACTCAACTCAACTCACGCTCGAATGAAACAAAAGCGTATGCCAAAGGTAGTTAATGCATTTAACAACGTAATCAACGTCCGAATCGAAGTAGTAGTCAAACAATGGAGAGCGAGAACTCTGCAATGCTGACGAGAATAATAAAAAAAAAATCGCCTCGAAACTGTTCCCACTGAAGAGGTGTATGAAAATAGGGGAAGCGCGGCAGCCAGTGGTGCTAAAGTAAGAGATGACGACAAAATAAAAGAGTGTAAAAGCGAAAAGAGAGAGAAGAGAGATCATTCGACCGCTCGATAATTTACACTTCCAACCAGCTGCAAACCCTCAAAGTGAAGGATCGTTTCACGAGCGCTGAGCACTGCTTTGGATGCTGTTGCAGCTCTCACCACCAGCAATACAGGTAAGCATAACCACAACCAATGAGTAGCTTACTCTTTGTTCGCAGATTCCTGCGGTGCCGTGTGATGCAGGTAAGAATCAAAGAATTCCTGTGCATTTACTTGGCACAGCGACGACTAAGGTGTACGAGGAAAATGGTACAAATAGCGCAGCAACGGCAGGAAGGGCATCATTCAGCCATCAAGCGCTGCGGAGTAAGGACAACAGTCTGAAATCAAAGTACAAAGATTAATAAAAATCGCAAAGACGCATACAAGGCAAGCAAACATGGCACTCGGCAGCATCACCAGCAACAGCCATCATCATCATCATCCCTACCAAAGACAACAGATGCAGCATCGAACGCTCAGCACTTACCAGCAGCCGCGTGCCATCGCACCTGCGCCAATCGGTTTACAGCCAGCGGTGAGCAAAACGCCAAGCGGCGAGAAGTTTTACGGCGGCGCCAGCGGCACCACACTCGACTCCAACAATCCGGCCGTGGTGCGACGCAACGCACGTGAACGTAACCGCGTCAAACAAGTAAACAACGGTTTCACGCATTTGCGGCAACACTTACCGCCCGCAATTGTTGCTGACTTGAGCAACGGCCGCCGTGGCATTGGTCCGGGCGCACACAAGAAACTCTCCAAAGTGGACACGTTGCGCATGGCTCTGGAATATATACGCCGATTGAAGCGCGTTATTGACGAAGTGGATGGGAAGCGTGCCATTGCGCAAGCGCCAGTCGAACTCAGCAGCTGGCCGAATATGGCAAGCAGCGCGACCAATTCGCCACCACCAACGCCACCGAAGAAAGGCATGCATGCCATGGTATACGCTGATAAAGTGCAACAACACTTCCAAACCCACAGCTATGAAGACACTTTGCAGCAACAACAACAATTCATAAACCTCAAATATCAACAGCCACAACTGCAACTTCAACAGCAATATTTCAATCAGTATACAGCACTGATATCACCAGCCGGTTCGGTTAGCTCCAGCGCCAGCACCAGTGACTGCAATAACTCCGACGCTTCTACGCTTTACAGCCAGCACCATCAGCACGGCTCATCGCAAACAGCTTTGCCGGCGACGCAACAATTTTCCTTGCCTATGCAAATGAAATATGAGCAGCAATACAATGAAGAGGCAATGGGCTGCAGCTCAGGCGATGAAGAGGATCTGCTTGACTACATCTCGCTTTGGCAGGACGAGGTCTGAATGTCTGAAGCAAACAAGTAAAATAGTAGGCTTCGATTGCTAACGAAAAGCTAGTCAGCTGCCACAGAGACACACTGAACGACGTAATTAACCAATGACTGTAACGAGTATTACCTCACGCGGAACTTGTTAGTATTATTTTTTTTTTTGTATATGTAAATTATTTATTATGATGCGCCAATGTACAAATTTGTGTTTAGATATCTATTGTGCCTGTTTTTAGTTTTTAAATTTTTTGTTAAGCATAGTTTAATATTTAGTTTAGTGAATGGAAGACAATGATTTGAAATAATTAGCTGTAAGTTGCAAACCCATGGAAGACATTAAATATAGCTAAGAAAAATTTAATTATACAAAAAAGAGATATTTTCATTTTCATTGGTTGGTTGGCTTAAGTGGATTGTCGGCCTGGTGACAAGCAATTAGCAGATTGCGAATGATGAGTTTCGGAGATGCCTCCCTCGCAAATCCCTGAGCGAGATACGCATGTCCACCGCGTGGGACACATTCACTGAGGAGCCGCACATCGCTAGTTCATCCGCTGCCTCGTTTCCGTAAATGCCCCTAAGTCCCGGAACCCATATTAGGGTAATTACGTATCGATCTGGAATCGAGGGCAGCTCTCTCATAAAATCACCCACACGTTGAGATCTAATAGAGGTTGTAGATAGTGCCCGAATAGCCGCTGAATATCTGAGAAGATATTCACCTGTGCTCTCGTGGATGCATTCTCTTTGGTGGACCTTACTGCCTCCTTAATTGCAAACGTTTCGGTCTTAAAAACCTGGAATACGTTAGCATGGGCGAAAGGGTAGCTTTTATTTATATTGCTCAATGAACCTGCATTCCATCTTAAAAAAATCCGTAAAGACAGTTATGTTTGCCAAGAACTGAACCATTCCTTGAGGCCAGTGACTGAGGATTAAGTCGGCCCTGTGGACTATTTTGAGACCAATGCCCAGAGCGTGCTTATTTTATGAAGGGAAAATTTATATAGCTTGCTGAATTGTAGTAACTCAGTGCTGTTACCCTCGGATGATGTAAATCAAAGCCCACAGTCGCAGGTGACAGTTTAAATTTCCCATCCGCTCTCTATTATGAGGTATAAAAACCAACAAATTTACGGGTGCTGAAAGCCTACTAGTTAAATATATGTGTGAGAAGCTGATGTGGTGCTCCAGTTATTCTACAAAGAAGAGTGCGGTATCAGACTTCTGGACAAAGGCTACACAATTTTATCGGAGTGCAATGGGGTATAGTCGTTGTTCTGGGTATACAGCTAGAGTTTCAAGGCATTCTTAGAAATCTGACCAATCCATGTGCGAGATGCAGTAACAAATCCGAGAGGACCCTTCGATCACAACAGAAATACTAGAGGAAACTTCGGTTGAGCCACTCCGACCTATTCGGTTTAAGGGCTCACTGAAGTCTGCAGCGTCTGTTCTCCAGTAGCCGCGGCTGCAAGCGGCTCCCTCTCTTGAAGCAAGCGACTCGCTATATAAGCATATATTCGGTTGCGAAACGAAACCGCAATGGATAGCTGAGGAGTGACTTTCACACGTCTTCATCGGATTCTGAAATCAGTCCATATCCGAAGAATATTAGTTATATTACTCTAGAGTTGTCATTAGATACATCGATCTTCAAAGCTGCTATTCAATGAGGATGGCCTTAAAAACAGAAGAATACGTAAGTAAACGTGACGAAAAGATCTACAACTATCAGGCCGAGTTAGTAAGAGAGTCCCAACCGATATTCCTTGGACTTCCTCGCCGCATGTATCACCGAAATTTGTGTGCAGTATCTTATTCTCATACCAAGAAGATTTAGATACTGTTTTCAGTTTATTTACATGGGCATATGATTTTTTATTTTTATTTTTTAAATCAATAAATTTCTTAACGAGGGTTCTCTGAGGTGTTTATTACCGCGTGGGTGCACCGATTTGTCATATGGGTTGTTAAAGTATTTTATGTGCTCAAATTAAAGAAAGTTTCCGAAAACTACTGTGAACACAAATATATACATATATGCACCCATGCATCCATAAATATATATGTATGCAGGTAAACATACACGCGTCGCCACAAAACATCGAAAAGCAGCAGCAGCAGCATTTAGCAAGTGTATTTTATGTGTTTCGCTTGTAATGGGGAGCAACTTAATTTACTTATCTACCCTCGAGATGTCAACCTTTTCCGTTAACCGCATTATTTGCATACAAAACAATAATAACATTAACAACAAACAACAAATTACAAGCAATTCTTTTATATCTGAATGCAGGGATCACCAGCGAGAAAGAAGCCGGCGAATGCCAACAGCGGAAAAAACAGTAAACCCCGCTGCTGTGCCACAGGAAGCCACGTTGCCAAGTTGTTAAGGAATTAAATGAATCTCAGTCAATGCAGAAGCTGTGAAAGTGGTGGCCATGCAGCGGGTGGAACGACGCGGCGCAGCACCGGGCGCTGAGCGGATGCTCATGTTCGAATGCGCGACATAATCGACACCGCAGATCAGTTCGACGACGACGACAAAAACAACAAAAAAAGCAAGGACAGCAGCAGTAACAACAACGTTTATGCTTTGCGCAGCACCAGCAACAGCAAATCAGTTAAGACCACGGCCAAATCAGCAGCAATATAACAAATAAAAAATATCGACAGTACAACAACTGGCTGGTGTGGCAACAATAATGTCAGCGAAAGCTGTGCAAATTGGCGGCTCTCAGCGATTTTACAACAGTTTTGCGATTTGGCTGCAATCGGTTAAGCTCATGTGTAATCGATATATTTGTGTTGTTGTTAGTGCTGTTGCCGCTGCTGTCGCTGCTGCTGCTGCTGCTGCTCCTGTTGCCACCGTTGATCATCGTGTGTGCTGATCAACAATATGTTCAATAGTTGTTATTGCTTATTGGCTATTCGCTGTATCGCCGGCTGTTGTCGCGCTCATCTGTAAGTATTTTATGTAGTTGCTGTTGTTGGCGCTGTCAATTGCAAAGATGACAAAATGCGGCACAATTGGTTGAACGCAGCAAAATTCGTTGTATTTGTGTTTTTTTTTTGGTTTGCATCAGCTCATCTGCATATCGATTTCAAAGCTTCCGTCCAGTTACTCGAAATTTTGTTTGGTGGAGGAGATATGTAAGTGGAATCACTGCGAATTGGCGACAGCGTTGACCGCATTGCACAGATGTGCTTTGTACGCTTCCAACTGATTTGCTCGCTTCCTCATTGCTTCCAGATAAAAGTGATTAACTACACAAGTAAGTGTACATATAATTCAACAGAGGAAAGTTTTTGTTGTTCATTTTCTTTTCTGTTAGACCAATAGCCTCCGAAGCGATTTAGGATCAGTCTAATGAAGCCCCCAACTTATTCCTTTTCGTGCCAACTGACGCCTGTTGGAAAGGTTAGGTGAAGTGCTTCTTTAACTGGTCTTTCAATCGCAGATAAGGCCTTGTCCTCATCCGGATCCGTGTTGTTATATTCAGGATTGGAGATCCTGTGTATGTCCATTCGTACGACGTAACCGAGCCAGCGGACCCGCAGTGCTTTTATTCGCTACACTATATCTATATTGCTGTTAAGTTCATACAGCTTATCGCAGCATCGTCTGCTGTATTCGCCCTTGCGTCGCCAACTCGCAAAGGCCCATAAATCGTCCTCAGAGTCTTCCAAGCGAACTCTCCAAGAGTCTCTTCTTCAGATGTTGTCATTGTCCATGCTTCTGCGTCAGATTCCAGGACGGACATGATCAGAGACTTATAGAGAGTATCTTTTTTATAATGAGAGAGTTTTTTCCGCCGTTTTTTTGAGCCTACCGACAGAGGCGCCTTTCCCTCTAAGGGCACAGACATTACCAGATGGATATCGTCAAATCGTAGTCCTTTAAATGTTTGCCGTGGTCGTCATTAAAGAGTAGGGTCTTCACTTGGTTTAACGCGGTGGGTTCCACATCCACTAATTCGGGTTTTTAAAGATCTGCGTGCCTTTGCCCAAATTTGATTTGATTTCTTGTGAGATGATTTTCCATTCCAGTTTGTTGCAGGCAAAACTTGGAATAGCAACTGTACTTACTCTTTCCCCATTCTAAATGAACAGAGCTGCATCTGCTTTGGATATTCACGTCGTATTTATCCTATTCGAAAGCATGGCATCCTAATAGCTGAAAGACAATACCGGCGAACAGCGAACTCACCACCGCGAAATTTTCGCTGTCAAAATTAGACTACCGCAAGCATATGTATGAAAGTGAACACGACCAAAGCTAAAAACGAATTTCATTGGGCGTCGTTTCGTGGAGATAGATTTAAGGCGGGTTCACCATTCTAGATCGGACAACTTTTTATTTGCTGTCAAAACATTTTTGCCGGAGAGGACGCTGAAGTATGGTTCACCGTTCGGTTCGGCATATTTGATTTTGTTCTGAAGCAAACCGCTGATGCTATTGTTGCCTACATACGATTTGGAGGGCAAATAACACATGCAATTCGCTGCAAACGCATACAAAGGTGAACGCGGCAACCCGAATCATCAAGTCGTTCCGACAGAAAATCAAAATCAATTTGATTTGAACGAACAGTGTTCAGCACATTTTTGTCGCGCTCTCAGTGAGACTGAGTGGGAAAGGAACGCGTAAAATTACTAACAAAAAGTGTCCGGACACGAAAGGTGAATCCGCTTTTACTTCCATTGATTTTTATTTAACCGACCGAAAATTTCCTTAAACTATCCCATAAGTTAAAGTAGTCACGAAAAGTTTTTTACAAAGAATTCTTTGGAACTAAGGGCCGATTTACACGGGTCAATTTCTGTCGCCTAAAAAATCGACTGAGAAATCCACTAGCCAAAGCATTTACATTTTACGGTTGAATTGCCATTAACACGAGTGGATTTGGGCAGCCTCAGTCTCTCTTATTGCTGAGTCAATTGAATCGACCGAATTTTTATGCAAAGCTTTGCTTTCCATTTGGTTATATTTCGGTGCGTGAAGTATTTTAGTTTTGTTTTGATTTCGGGTCTCGTTTTCTATCCACATCAAAAAAAAAAAAATGATATTTTTGAAATTATTAACAAACAAATTTCCCGTCATATTTCTTCTCACATTGCTGCTTATTACACCATTGCATCTGTGTCATGAAAATTTAAAGAAAGAGTATCCGACACTGCACCATCATACGGCCGATGACGATTTGAATATAGATTACAATTTTCTCATCACCGGTGGCTACCGGCCCAAAAAACAGAACCTCACAAAATATTTGGTTTCGATTAGTAGCGAGAAGATGACAAAATTCTTCGGTGATGGACATTTTTGTGGTGGTTCTATTATTAAGCCGAATGTTATTGTAACCGCCGCGCATTGCATACGCAAGTAAGTACCTTTGTCCGTAAATACTTACGTATACTCAGCTTCTAAACAAAATATCCAACAGAGACATGTATGGCCTGCAGATGCTTAGATCCGTTATTGTTATAGCTGGTACGCCAAATCGTTTTGAAAAAACCCCTAAAACACAAGTTATGAAAGTGAAGCGTTACGTCGTTTACCACGCGTCTACCGGCGGCGAATCAGCTGATATTGCGCTAATTGTGCTGCAGAAAAACATTCGTATCGATGGTGTAACTACAGACATTTTACCGCTTGCCGATAAGCCACCCAAAGCATGGATGCATTGCACCGTTGTGGGCTGGGGAAGAGTTTTCGATGTGAGTTTGTGGTAGCATTTTTCCAGTAAGGTTTTATTAATCTCTTGGTTTGGATATTTGCAGCATGGACCACTGGTGGCCGAACCTTTGTATGTGGATTTGGATATGTGGTCGATACGTAAATGTGCATCGTACAAACGGTTTTATGAACCTTCATTGTTATGTGCGGGCGTGCTATATGATCCCGATCGTGATTCGTGCTCTGGTGACTCGGGTGGACCTTTAATATGTGAGGGAAAATTGTATGGCATTGTGTCGTTTGGCATCGGCTGTGGCACGCCTGGCTTCCCCGGCTTCTATACGAACGTGTTTAGGTACTTGAAGTGGATAGCTGAAAATCGTGCGGATTTCTTTGGAATTAACTATAGTCTAATAGTGTTTATGGGCTTTTGTTTAACGCTTTTATGAACAGGAAAATAAAGGTGAAGCACATAAGATAAGAAACGTTGAGGAAATTATTTTTAAACCTGTGTGGAGTCAAATTTGTAGGTTCTATGCATGGCGCCATATGAGGAGTGATGTTTTGGAATAGATTCCAGGAATGTTTTACCAAGAAGAACCAAGTAGTGTGATTTGATTAAAAAATCCGTCTGGAGATTGCTATAAACAAAACAAAAATACAAATGATGTTGAAAAGTGTGATATTGGGCTTTGGATAGAAAACAACAGGCATCTATAAATTTCAGGGGACTGGAATTTATACAGTTGGAAATCTAGAACTAGATCTTAGAAGGGATCACAAAGAAACATTCAGCACTCTAAAGGAATTATATGGTAGCTACCCTCGGATTTTGGAGGACTCTAGCAGTTTTCCGTCGAAAGAAGTTAAACATTATTGGAAGATAAAGAACGCCATTAGCAAAACTCAGCACTGCGATACAGGTACAACAGGTTCATGAACAGTACAAATAAATGTCAAGGATCTTATAGGGCTACTCTTGTGTCCTCCGGCAGGTAGTTAATCCTCTCTGAATCTCAGTGAGTATCGCTCTTGCTGGGTCATATTCCCAGTGAAATTCAAATCGTAAAAGGCATTAGGCATTATGAAAATTTTGGATCAACTTATCAGAGAATTCGACCTACATAAATCAAGGGTCCTTGAGGAAGTAACAATTTTCTAATAAAACAGGAAAATCGACTCACTGGATTCGATGCCATTTAAAAAACTAAAACAACTGTGGGTTTTAACAACATAGGACTCAGGACTACCTTGTTGATTCAAAGCCACCATACTCCCCTCTCGATTATGGTGTGAAGTCTTAAAATTTCCACCACGATAGCTGTCCCAGAAGATACACGTATCATACAAAATTATAAGGACGCCTGGCCACAGGAAAATTTTTCCAGAGTATTTGGCGACTTACGGAAGGGTTAAGACCGAGGCGAGCCCCTATAAAAGAAGAATGGTGACCAGTTTACAGATGCCCAGAGTACACTTAAATTATAGAAGGAGCACTCCTCCACACTGCTGTATGGCAGCAAATGCCGAATATGGTGAATATAACAAAATCTACGAGCCTCCAAACGATTTTTAAAGAATCAATATTCCTTTCCCTGCCGCAGAAGCTGATAATCTGCCAGCATCTTCCAGGCTGAGATCTCAGCTGTAAAGGAGGCGATAAACGAACTTTGAACTGATTTAAGGGGTAAAGAGGTGTTTATCTTTAGTGATAGCCAGGCAGAAATCAAAAAATAATCTGGTCTGCGCCGATCTCTGCAAGATATGGCTAATAAGAATAGTCCGAACCTCATTTGGATTCCCGGTCATAGCGAAATAAAGGGTAACAGATCCTTCCGGGCAAAGAACGTATTAGTATGCCCTTCGCCACTTGCAAGCTGTTTTTATGAACATTTTTCTATACCGGCGCGGGCGAGAGATGTATGCAACCTACGATCTGTCGAATTTCCAGGCAAACTTAGCCTAGCTGGTATCGAAAAAGGTATTTAAAGATGGAGGATATACATATCTCACACAATTGGTGATCTAACAGGCCACGACCTTATAGATACTCGTAAACACGCAGAAGGGTTCGAAGTGCGGTACTATAGATGTTGCAGAAGTTGCAAAACTATGAGGGGGAGGAGCCCGTTCTCCATCTTCTCTGTAGCTGTCCGAAACTATCGAGGAGGAGTTTGCGCTTTCTGGGGTCTTAAGTGACCATGACAAACTGGGAGATTTACATTTTAGTTGCCTGACGAGTTTCATTTGGGATTCAAAATGGTTTAGGAAGGGGTATCACAACGCGCCCTCAACTAATGGCCTATATAGGCGTCCCAGCGTCCCTGCGTAGCACTGGCAGCCACACCTACGTACCTAACTCTGAAAACTTACAGGGCTTTTTCCAAGTCCTTAAATTGAGTTATGTATTTGTCATAATTTATATCCAAATATTTAATTAAGCAATGAGAAAATCATGCCAAGCAACAACATAACTTAAATTTTTTTTTTAAAGGACAATGAACTGAATTCGAGGGGTTTAAATTGCTGCTAAAAATGTAAGGGTATTTCCAGAAAACCATCTACTAGCGGCATGAATAAATTAAAAATACAATAAAATCCATCAAAATCATATGATGGACTTCTACGAGTACGTATTGATACGTTAAGACCAGTTGACAGCTTCAGGGCAGTAGTAGTATGTTACTATGTATGTATAGATATTTGTACCTTAATGTAGCTACATACGTACATACGTACGAGTGTAAACCCCAGAAAGGAGCACCTGCCATGCGTGAGGACATAACAAAAATACGCGCAGGAAATATGTGAGAATTATTGTGTGTACGTATCTTGGGCTCAATACAAAAATTAAATGCACCAAAACTACTCAATGCGAAATAGCCACAAATCCTGTTGTCGACTTGAATTACACCTGCAAAAAAGGATAACAAGTGCACGGATGTGTACATAGTATGTATGTACTATGTGTATGTATAGTTCGAGGCATACCCAGTACAAAATTTATGGATTAATACTAAAATAAAGAAATTAAAGTCAGTCTTTTTTCTTTTTTCCTAAACTTTTATGTATTTCATCATCGCTTAATGTTACAGCACCAGGTTGACCGAGCTTTGCCCAGAGTGCATATACTTTTTAAAGTTTTCAAAATTTGGATAGCTTTAAAAAATATTTTGGAAATAAAAATTAAAAAAATTTGGATTTCGATATCTATTAAGTAAATTTCTTACTCTAAAATCTAGGTGGCAACCCTATTACGAAATACGCTGAATACCTTTCATTTGATATCCATATTGCGATGTTTTAGATAAATTGTGTAGAATCGAAAATAAGTGGCAGCCTTACACTATTATCCTAAAGGATAACATTTTGTATAAACGGAAAGCATTGTTTAAGAACCTTCTCTTGGCGCTCATGAATAGTAATATTTTAGCTTTCTTTCCTAATAAAAAATTAAATAAATATGGGATTCATAATAGGTGGCAACCCTATTAAAAATATTTTTGAATTAGAGGTCCTTAAAATACCTTTCATTGGATACCCATATTATGATGTTTTAATTAATTTGTAACTTATTTCGAATAGGTGGCAACCCTATATGTGGTGTAATTCACTGCTCACAAAAGAGCGACCTAAAATTAGTCTTTGGATGATACAAGTTTTTACTGGGTGCATACTCATATACATACATAGATATGTACGTGTGTATAGAGCCATGAAAATTACGCGAATTGTAGCAAAAGGACTTGAACGAATCCACAAAATTACATATACAGCGCCAAAAAGAACACCGAAAAAAAGGTACGAAAATTCAAAGAAAACGAGCTAAAGAAGTTAAATAGCGATTAGCAGAAAAGCAAACAAAAGATTAATAAACAAAAAAAAAAAGTCATAAGAATTGCACTTGTTGCAACATTATTGCTACCGCACGCACACCGGCAGGGAATGACACTCAATACGCAGGGGACATAATAATTCTCAGAGGGATAATAATGACAAGTGTATCTCTTGCGATTTGAGTGCGTTAATATTGTGGTTGATAATTTGAGGCGTTTTAACGGCACTCCCTTGAACCGCTTGCCGCCGAAGCGCCGCACGTCTTTCCACTTTTGCACTAACTCAACTGGCTAAAGGACTTCGGAAATACGGCGCTACTTACACAATAGTGTCAACTAATCGCCATTCACTCCTACTAGCTACTCGTTTCTTTGTTGTGCAATACAAAAGCAAGCGTAGTTCGCAGGTGACTTCTCTCTCTCTGTTAGTGATGCCCGCAATTTCTCGACGCTTATCATAGATTTCACACGAATTTCTTCAACTCTTCAACTTGCTGTTTTTGTTAGTCATTTTCCACTGAAATTATTTTTAGGATTCGCACTATTTATTTGGATTTTCGGTGCCTTTGATTTGAAAGGCATAAATGACCATAACAGTTATAATTATCTAGTGTCTTTTTACAGGAAACATGATTATTATTATTACACATTAGACTGGGTCGAAAAGAGTGGTAATGACTTCTTTGTTTATGAATTTAGAAAACCAATTTGAAAGTAGCATGCATTGTGAAATTATATCCCATCATCCTTTATCAAATTTGGTTTAGAGCAAACCGGTTTAGGCGATGCACCCTTTTTCGATGTAATTTTTTGTTCTCGTACTTGAGTTTTTTCCGAAATTTTTTTTTTTAAGTATGGTTCATTCCACAACAAAAAGCATAAAAATATAATTTCTAAACTTTGTGCAAAACTCACGAAAATTCAGCAAACTTTCATGCAAATTTTCAACATTTTAATCAGATTTTTTAGAATTTTTTTGAGTATGCTGCTAATTTTTTTCCCGCAGTCTCTTCCATAAAAAAATTTTTTCGAAAATACTTTATATGGAAAAAATGCAAAACACCTTCAACAAAAAAAATCTCAAAAATCAATGCGATTTTTGACTAACTCCGAGCTTGAAGGTTTTATATTAGAATTTAATGGGCCCAAAATGGTAAATTTCCGCGGTATAAGCCTTTCAAGCATCGTCTTAATAGGCTTATCAAGCGTATCGTGTGAATGTCTAAGGTTCACCGTCCCCAAATGAATTAGGCCTTATCATTTAAATTTCCTTAAATCCACCATAAACTAGTTATTACCCACACAATAGTTCTAAGAAAAGTTTAGAGCCATAACAAAATAACTATTTGTTGATTTCAGCATAAGTTGACTATATGCCTGAGCTTGGAATATCTGCGAAATTCATACGCCTGTATATGGGATTGGAAATGACCTCTCCGAGCCGTTTGATAAAAACGAGGTTTCAGCCAAGTGACTCTCTATCGTGTGATATTTCTAGTTTGATATTAGGGAAAATAATAAGAGCTCTAGCACTGAACGCCTCAGGTTAAATTTGTTAGAATGGGCAATTGCTAACGCAACATTGCACAGTGTCAAAAAAGTTGCCTTCTTTT